TAGATGTACACAGTAAGTTGAGAGAGAGAGAGAGATTAATAGATAGATAGAGATATACGATGATAGATAGATAGGTAGATTAAGATAGACTAGAGACTAGAGAGAGAGATTTAAAAGATAGAGTAGAAGAAGATAGAGAGAATAGAGATATAGAGGATAGATAGTGATTAGATAGAGACTGAGAGAGAGATTAAGATAAGATAGATAGATAGATAAGATAAGAAGAGAGAGATTGAGATTTAATTAGAATGATAGATAGATAGGATAGATAGAGAGAGAGAGAGAGATTAATTAGAATACGATAGGAGAGATAGAGAGAGAGAGAGAGAAAGGCTTTAATAGATAGATAGAGAGATAGATAGATAGATTAGATAGACAGAGAGAGAGAGAGAGAGGATTAATGAGATAGAATACAGGAGAGTGAGTAGATAGAGAGAGAGGAGAGATAGAGAGAGAAAATAATAGAGAGCTAGAATATGATCTAGAAGATAGATGAAGAGAGAGATATTAATAGATAGAGAGAATAGGGATGATTGATGATGAACGCGAAAAGGGAGAGAGAGAGAGAGAGAGAGGACCGACGAGAGAGAGAGAAGAGAGAGAGAAAGTAGAGAGTAGGAGAGAGAGAGAGAGATAATAAGATAGATAGAGAGAGAGTATTAAATGAGTAGCAGATAGATAAGAACAGGATAGTAGGAGAGATATGGAGAGAGGAGAGACGAGAAGACATCAACACACATAAACTCGCCGAGCCTTTACAAACTGCCAGATCAAAGCGAAGACAGACAAAGATGGTGCGTATCAGGCTCTTCTCACTTAGGTCGGACGAATCCGCAACGAGGACGATCGTTGGTGTCAGTGAAGTACTTTGATCTCGAGATCTTGCAGCCCAAGCCACTTAGGGTTCTACGATCCGGTAAGCGCGTTCACACGCAAAGACTGTCTAGCAAAGCAGTCCCAATTAATAAGTCTGACTATGTATCATGTTTTTCGAAGTGGACAGAACAAGTCACTCAGGGCAGAGAAGGATGTGAGTTTCCACATATAAGGATTGTCAAGCAGTACGAAAAACAGGGAGGGCTTTGATCAAATATCAGACGAACTCTGCATGGCGGATGGCGTAGTTGTGAGAATCATGAACTCTGGAATTTGCCCAGTCACAAGGCCATATCAAAAGAAAGAAGGATGGAAAAAAATATCGATAAAACGAAGGAAGAGAAGAGAGAGAGAGAGAGAGCCAAAAAAAGAACAAC